ACTTTGGAAGATATTGGAGGAAGGTATTTTGTTGTTTTGATCAAAAAATCTTTCTTTGATGAGTTTCAGTATGGTGAGAGAATATACTATAAGATGCATGATTTATTACATGATTTGGCACGCTCTATTTCTTCAGAGGAATGTTTCGGATTTGTGGGAGATGATTTTTCATCATTTAAAGTTCCTAAAAATGTTCGACACTTATTTGTTAAAACTGAAAATCCAGAAGTGTTGAGAAAGATTAAAGATGTTAAAAATCTACATTCATTTTTTTGGATGACCGATGATCAAGATTTTACTGAAATACTTACTGAAATTTTTGAAGCATCGAGAAGGATTGGTTTGTTGTTCATACACTCTCCATGGCAAGAAAAAATGTCTGAGGCTATTAAAAATTTAAGACATCTTCGATACTTGAATCTTACTGCACGTCTCACTCATATGCCAAGATCTCTAAGCAGTCTTTATCATTTGCAGTTCATAATCTATAACAAGTCATTGGGATCTTGCTCCGATGATTTCTTGCCTGGCAATGCGAGTAATCTTTCTAATCTGCGTTACTTGGAATTGCCCCCGAATGTATTTTCTAGGGTACCTGGAATTGGGAAATTAAGGTCACTTCAAGAACTAACTGAGTTTAATGTTAAGAATGAGAATGGTTATAGAATTGGGGAGTTGGAACATATGAGCGAGTTGCGCAAATTAAAAATTCATTTTCTGGAGAACGTGAAGGATGCTATAGAGGCTCGCAATGCTAAATTATTTGAGAAGAGAAAACTCACAGAGTTATTATTGAATTGGGGCAATACTGAATTTGGAAGCCTACGGAAGGCTTTCAATTCTGACTTAGATGTGAATGTGCTTGAAAATCTTGAACCATACAAAAATTTGAAAAGATTGTCCATAGTTTCATATGAGGGTGCAAGATCTGCAAAATGGATGCACAATGCCGATTTGATCTCCAATCTAGAGTACATCCGTCTGGACGAATGTTCGGAGTGGGAAACTCTTCCTCCTTTTGGGCTGCTTCCCCACCTCAAGTCACTGTATCTTCGTAATATGCCAAAAGCAAAGCGGCTTGAACATAAATTCCATGGGAATGACAAGGTTTCTGTGTTTCCATCATTGGAGGTGCTAAATTTGGAGGGATTACAAGTATTGGAGGATTGGTTTGATGGAGCAGGAGCAACAGCATATGCCTGTTTCTTTCCTTGCTTAACTGAACTCTTCCTCGTTAACTGCCCAAATATGCAGGAGTTGCCCCATTTGCCTCCTAAACTGAAGAAAATGAAGATACAAAACATTGGATGGAAGGCTGCTTTGAACTGCAAACAAGAAACCAACAACTGTTGCGGCATTTCAAAATCAATTATGCTTGAGACATTAGAAGTCCTTTCGTGTCCAAACATCACATCTCTTCTTTCTCTTGGTGGACTGCAACAAGTGGAGAGTGGCATTGAGAAATTCGAGCTTATTGTCAGTGAAGTTGTTATAGATGACCCTTCCTTGTTGACAACAGTAAGAATGGCCTCCTTGGAAAAGCTCACAATTTGTAATAATGACGTGCTGGTTTCTTTTACAATTGAGGCGGAGCAGTGGTTTTCGCACGTTAGCTCATCCCTTCGTGAGTTGAGCTTTAGAGGCCTCAAATCTCTGCAGTCTCTCCCTTCCTCCTTGGGACGCCTCTCTTCACTTGAGATCCTACGTATCGAAAAAGTTCCTCAGCTCCAGCAGCTTCTACATATCCCCGCCTCCCTGAAAGAATTATGTCTTGAATACCTGGAATCATTGCAGTGCCTGCCATCTTCTTTGTCGACCATGTCATCCCTCAGCCGTTTAAATTTAAATAGCAATCCACTTCTCAAATCATTGCCAGACCTCCCTTCCTCCTTGAATTCACTGTCTCTATGGGAGCTTGATAACTTAGAGTGCCTGCCATCTTCTTTGCCGGCCATCTCATCCCTCAAGCATATACATATAGTTAGAATTCCACTCCTCAAATCATTGCCAGAACTCCCTCCTTCTTTGTCTCATCTGTATATAAATAGCCTTGATAACCTACAGTGCCTGCCATTTTCTTTGTCGGCCTCCTCATCCCTGAACCAACTATCATTAAGTAACATTCCACTCCTCAAATCATTGCCAGATTTCCCTCCCTCTTTGTCTAGTCTGTATATAAGGAGTCTTCATAACCTAGAGTGCCTGCCATCTTCTTTGTCGGCCATCTCATCCCTTCATTTAGAAAGCATTCCACTCCTCAAATCATTGCCAGAACTCCCTCCCTCTTTGTCTTCTCTGTATATAGTGAGCCTTGAGAACCTAGAGTGCCTGCCATTTTCTTTGTCGGCCATCTCATCCCTCAACTATATAAGGTTACGTAACATTCCAGTTACGTAACATTCCACTTCTCAAATCATTGCCAGACCTCCCTTCCTCCTTGTATTCATTAACAGTAAAGGATTGTCATCCAGAGTTGATGAAGCGTTATAACAAATATTAGGGCTCTGATTGGCGCAAGATTGCATACCTTTCTTTTGTCAGTATTAATTTTATTTAAGAGCTGTGTTTGTAATTAAATTATAAAATCCTTGTTTTGTCGTTAATTGTTTAATTTCAGTTGTAGTTAAAATTGATTTGTGATTTTGAAGTAGATAGCGAGCTCTTCTTATATAGCATTATACTTAAAATATTGATGATTTCCACCTCTGAAATTTCAACCACACTTCAATTATTTAATTTGAGCATATTTAAATTAAAATCTACTTAATTTGGGCTTATTTAGATTAATTTTTTTTTTTTTTAATGTCTTATGGATTGTGATGTGAGATGCCAATATGAACCTCACTTCAGAGTCAGTGAATCAAGTAAATTCTCCTAAAGTGTAATATCGTCATTCCACATCAATCGAAACAAAAAATTGTCAAAACTATTTTGCTCTAAACTCTTCAAAAATGCTTGAGACTAGTTGTTGAAACTATATTGAGATACAAGAGTTTCAAAGTTAAGTTAAGAACATCAAAAAATTATTTTAAGAACCCAAAAAATATTGAGATGGACATGTCTGGGCTCAAAATCAAACACAAAGCAGGTTGAGGTAGCTAACCAACCCATTTTCGATGACTATGACAATGCGCAAGTGCACATACAATCAAAACAACACATGATTTTTATTTCATTTTTTAAGCATAAGAACATTTTAAAAAATTAAAAAAAATTCTTTCAATGGTAAGAAACTATTAAAAATAATTTTAAAAAAGTGCAAATTATTTAAACATTTATTTAAACATTAAGCAAAGTTTTTTTATAGATATTTATCCTCATTTTCAAGTATAAGTAATCCCATGGGTAAGGAGAACATTTACAACTCTTAAATCTCGCTTGTTAGGCTCTAGTTCTTACTCCGAAAAGATTCACCACTCACCAATAGATTATGAATAATCTCAATTTATAAGCTCTAGTACTCATCTATATAAAGGCTTGATCCTATCCAAATTAGGTAGTGTGTATCCCCTTGGCTTGTTTTAATGGTTTCTACTAAGATAACCAAACTATCTTGTAAAAGCATAGCAAATTTTTTTCATCCAAGAATGATCATTGACCCAATTTGCCATCACATTTTCAATGTGAAGACAAAGAGATGTCAACAAGATAAACTACACAAAGAATTAAAATCATTTACATAATACCTTTATTTTTAAAATATTTCGGTATTTTTCTTATTTCTTTACTTTTTTTTCTAAGAATTTTGTTCTAAGACGATCATGTGCACGAGTATATTTCTCCAAAAACATGCCATTGTGAATTGTTGCTACTTATCTTTACAAAAATTATAATTTCCTTGACATCTTGGTGTTGAAATTTTGACAATTTTGTAGTTAATGAATTTATGTGATCAAACTAATCATCATAAAACTCTTATTTATCTGTGAAAGATAATGAATTCTTTTGTTATTTCCATGAAAATCTTCATATAAAAATGTCAATGTTTGATAAGATAGAAAATTCAAGACCAAAATCTTCCTTGAATAAGTTATTTTACTTTCCATAAACTTCAATAATTAATTGTAATTTATCCACTAGTCAAAATGAATTGAAATTTTTCTAAGCATTTCCATAAATATATAAATACTTTATTTTTTACATTTCTTTTTTCAAGTATTTTTCTCAAAAAAAATTTTATAAGTGTCTACTGACGAGTGATTCCTATACGTTATTATTGTTTTATAAAATTTATTAAAACCTAAAATGAATGATTCTTGTAACATAATTAATGTCATTCAAAAGGAAATGCACTAATTTATGTTTTTTCGATTGAAGTCATTTGAGATATGTTATGATCAAGATAGAAGTTACATCCATAAAACAAAATTCAATTTGAATGAAACTACTCCTTGGAAGCTATTATAGATTTTTGAATGTTTAAAGACCATAAAAGGCTTAAAAATATCTTATAATAATGAAGACACTCTCTAGAGATTTTGTCTGCATTTTGCGAGGATTTTTTTATCCAGGGTTCGAGGTTTCTCATAGGCGCAAACCCCTATAGTTAATTACGCCTCCTGGTAACAAGAGAGCACTTTTGATAAAGACTATTTATTAAGAATTGAATATTTAACATATAATAGAAACAAACTTAGGATTTAAGTTATAAAATTCATCAGTTGAAGATTAAAGCGGATGATGGGGGAATGAAGACGAAACCAGATCAAAATCACATGGTTCTGTCATCTCGAGTTGTCATGGTCCCTAATTCACTTAGTCAGAGAAGGTAGTCGACCCAATCCAACCTGATAGATGGATTCTTGTCAGCGGCATGGATTACGTCGTTCAAGAAATTCATATAGATCTGAGGTGTATATTTGTCTAACAGGGCAAATTTAAGCTGATTTTTTTATCAATCAACTGCACCCTTATGATTTACAACTCAAATGATAGAAAACTGTTGGGGAACATACGGGTTGACTGTAATATAATTGTGTCATTTGGCGGCAACTAACCGGTCAGATGGCTCCAGTCATAACCGCAAGTTTGTAGTGTCATTTGGTGGCAAAATCACGCAGACAGATGACTCGGGTTATGTTCTTATGGGCATGCAATTACTTTGATTGTGAATATAAGGATGCATTTAATATGACTTTAGCTCTTTGTGAGCTGAAGACGATTAGAAATTTGTCTCCCTCAACAAACTATTGCGGGGGGTTGATGAGATTTGTTTTAAGTCTTTTGTGATTGATTTTTAGCTTGGATATTTTAATTGATTATTTTGAAAGTATTGATTTAAAGATTAACCCCTCTGGTTGAAATCTTCTATTAGTTCGGCTATCATGAGGGTATTAAATCTTATAAACTTTTTTATATTGAAGGGGGCAATTAATTTTGCAGTTGAAGTTTTTTAAAGCATATCTGCTGTCGGTTCCTATTCTTATAGGTAGGAGGATCAGAGTCGTTGGGTTGATTGGACTTGTAGAATTTTATTTTAAGATTTGGACATTTATTTCAAAATTACTAGACTCGTCAATTGTAGTCCTTGCAAAAAGGAGGATCAGAATAGTTGGGGTGATTTGGACTTGTAAACTCATATTTCAGGCTTACTAGACTCGCCAGCTCTAGTCCTTGTGAGAAGGATGATCAGACTAGAGGGGTGGGATTTACAACCCTGCCCTATAAATATGGCGGCCCGATTAGCCCGCGTAGCATTCTCGAACCCATTAGTTGAGTATTCAATTCATTGGTTGGAGCACATGTAAATATTTAACTTTCATATGTTTGAGCTATTTTGGTGAAAATTCATGTGAATGAGATTAGTTAGGAAACTAAAGCTTGAGTTTAGCCTCACATACAATTGTAAACATATATGTTAGTGTAAGAAATATCAAATAATTAGATTTATCAGCGGATAACATATATTTTGGTGTAAACATGTGTGTGTGTGTCGCCAACCGTGACCTATTGGTAGTGCAGGCTCTTTGAAGGTCTTAAGTCCCCTTAGATCATGGGTGCGGATCGCTCTCTTGATAGTTTGTAGGTAGTGAGGGCGGTCCTCAAATAGTTAGCCGCATAAGGGTGCTTCGAGTAGTTGGGTTGATTAGTTTTGTAGTTTAAGCTTTTTAAAGCATAAGTCATGTCGACTCCTACTCTTATAGGAAGGAGGATCAGAGTAGTTGGGTTGATTGGACTTGTAAACTCTTATTTCAAGATTTGGGTATTTATTTCAAAATTATTAAATTTGTCAATTATAGCCCTTGTGAGGAGGATGATCGGAATAGTTGAGGTGACTTGGACTTGTAAACTCTTATTTCAGATTTACTAAACTTGCCAACTCTAATCCTTGCAAGGAGGAGGATCAGAATAGTGGGGTGGGACTTACAACCCTGCCCTATAAACAAGGCGACCCGATTAACCCGCGCAGCATTCTCGAACCCATTAGTTGAGTATTCAACGCATTGGTTGGAGCACATTCGAGTGTTTAACTTTCATGTGTTTGAGCTATTTTAGGTGGAGCATTTGGTGTCTTAAGATAATTTATATGATTTTAATGCATGAGTTAAATCAAATAGCTTGCACATAAGGTCTCATTTTAATCATTTTACTGTTTTCTGTTCGCTAGCAGACACGTTGTGAATCTGGTAGTTGTCAATCTCAAATGTCATGAAAACTCAATATTTGAATTATGCTTCCATCCTAAGATCCTAAGTCCGAATAGCTCAAATTCAACATATTTTTAGATTCATGAGCTAAAATTTAAAAACTCAAATCTTAATATTATAAGCTTTCAAAATTTATATTTTAATAGCCCAAAAACTTCAAAATTTTAAAACCCTAAGATCCTAAATGTTCAATTGCTTTTATACACTTTTCTAACCTTAGTTGAAATGACATTGCGGTAACACAAAAACAACTTTGCAGGTTGCCACTTGACAAGACCATTATCTGATATTTGGACTATTAATGGTATTTTTCTCTTTGCAGAGTTGATTATGAATTACTTATTTCATATCTGTTTGCTCCATTTTTATTCTCTTTGATAACTTATTCTGAACTTGAATGTTATTTTGCAGGATTCTGTCAGGGATGGCAAATAAGGAGATAACTAACAAATGTTTTAAATTTACAACTTTATGATAATTCAGTGCTAATGATATATTCTTGGACATTTTATAGGAAAGGAGCAAAATTTATGATAGATTACAAAATTTCTGTATGAAGCTGAAAAGAGGTTTGCAGCTGCATTGGAGGACATATTCTAGGAGTCATTGTCAGGAGAGGGCGAGACACAAAAACTCATCCTTTTATCATTTTGATGGTTCTAAAGCAATTCGGAAGCAGCTGGGAAGTGGCCATGAAGCATCTTTGATGGAGCTACAAAACAATGAACTCCTCAGTTGCTGTGAAGGATGTTTTTGGAATGCCTTTTTCTTATTTTTTTTATTTATAAATTGTTGTCAAAAGTTTATTATGGCATTAAACTGTCTTCACTGTAAAGTAAATGTTTAATACTGATGGTAGTTTTTGATTTTGTTTAGGGTTTTAAATTCATGTACTTTCACCTATTTATTTCCTTTTATTTGTAAAATTATCATTTAAATCTACAAATTCAAAATAAATTTATTGATTTTTTGTTTGACAAAATATTACTGATTCAAAATAAATTTATTAATTTATTCGTAAAAATGTCAAAGATAATTAATTTTATCAATTTATTATAGATTTGTAGAATTGAATGCCTTGAAGAGCCAAATTTAATGATGCCAAAATTAAATTTCTTCAAATATTAATTGAAGAATTAAATAATTTTTAATTTGGGCTTTTTACATACATAGCACTGAAAATTTTTATATTTACCTATCTCACACCCAATTTTTTATAATTACAAGCATCATGTGAAAGTAGTACTTATTATCATCTTTTAATAGTCAAATACTTTTGGTATGTTGGCTCGTCATAAGACTTCACATTACCTAAATGTGATGTAATGTTGGTGCTACGTAACATCTTATCTCAAGTTTAATTAGATTTTTTCAATTAATTAATAGTAATAATAATATAACTAACAAATTATAATATGTGGAGTGATAGTAGCTATTGGGGTTAGCAATGGCAACCAAGAAGCGAGGGTTGTAATTAAAAATATCATTAATGAAATTTTATGTCTATAACTATTGAAAAATGAAATTTTATGTCCATAACTATGAAAAAAATTAATTAGTTGGCCAACGACATTAAGCTGTTGGCGATATTAAAATTAGATGATTATATAATTTGTAAAAAAAAAACATTTAGACATTGACTCAGTAGTTATGTTCATGTCGACTTCATTGAAATTGCTTAAATATGAAATGTATATATTTGTTGTGTGTTGATAAATTCAAGAACATCTTAGTGTTGTACGAAGATCCAACAGACACATAAGTAAAAAGAAATCCACAAAAAAGAAGAAAAATATTTTTTTTTACATGGAAGAGTCAAAATGTCAAAAATCGCGACCTCTGACTCAATTGAAAAGATTTCATTATGTTGTTGTAGTTTTCAAAAATTTATCGGCTATTTAATAGCAACAAATAATATTACACTAGTAGTATGTGACTTTTTTAGAAGAAAAATCGACAGTAATATATTAGTTTGACATGCGTATGATTTATAATTAAAATCTTAAATTTTAATAATTTTAATAATAATAGTAAGGTTCAATTTTTTAATTAATTTTAATAGTTTTTACTTAAAATTTTAAAATTTATTTCATTTTAAATGCATTTTAAATTAAGAGTTTTTTTTTTAAATAGCCTACTCATGAGCTAGCAAGTCGAGTCAAGATTGGTACAAGTTTGGCTTGTTAACTCATTGAGTTCAGTTTATGAGTCATTTATCGAGCTCAGCTTGAGCTAGCTTGACTCACTTATACCTTTAAAAAGATGGAATGAATGCATATATTATATCATTGGGTTTTAAAAAGCATAATTAGATTTTGATTTTTCTAATATTTTATTAATTAAAAGTAAGGCACTAATAAAGGAGACATAAGATCAAATGTACATTGAATTTCATATGAAGAATTAGTAAATATTTATTTTTTTAAAATGACCATAGACCGAGCATGAACATATGCATGCATTATCTCCCTAAATTTACAATGTCAAATAAAACAGATATTCAAAAATATTAAGTTATTCTTTTATTGATAATTTCAATTTGAAAGTTCTTCGTCGCCTCCTTCACCTCTAATAAATCCAAAATATTGCTAATATTGATATTACTAACAGTTTTGGAGTGAAAGAAAAGTTTGATGTAGAAAAGTTGTTTACGAAGAACTCTGATGTCTTCAATTAACAATCTAACATCTAAGGCCTCGTAGAGTCTGGAGAACTATTCAACTGGATTGAACGATGCCGTCTGAAATGTTTATGTTCGCCAATGGAGCGTTTTCAAAACGGCTCTGATTAGAGAACTATTCGCCAATGGAGCGTTTTCAAAACGGCTCTGATTATTATATCACAAGATTCATGAATTATCATCTTTTTAGAATGAAGACGATGAGGCTCGTTCAGCCACAAGACTTTTGAATGAGCTTCGTCGAATGAAGCCTAAGTTTCAACTTGACATGACAAAAAAAAAAGTTTTCAAAATCAAGAGATATCTACCATCTCTATGATTAATCTCCTACTTCCCTATCCATCTCAGCGTACCCATGACGTCTCTACAATTTGATGGCCAAAATAAAAAGTTCACGCTCGTTTATGTCCTAATATCCATATCAGTCATCTTAACATGATCACGACGTGTTCGTGATTATCCCCAATTTTTAAGAGAGAGTTCATATGAGGTGCCCTCATTTAATGTGATCTTCACTTGAATGTTTTTTTATTCGATAATGTCATTTTGTTTGGCGTCAAGGCATCTTTAAAAATTATCATTTTAGTTGATGATAATTAAAAATGCGCCACTTTAAATAAAGTTATATGCATCATTTGAAAATTATAGTAAAATCATTATCTTTGTCATTATCTTTGTTGTGTGCTACAAGCTACAATCTCAATATTAATAGATTCATAACATCATTCCTTGACACACCAAGTAAGTTATAGCCAACAACATCAACATTTAGTTTTCTTCAATGTGGATTCATTTGCCATATGCTAATAGTTTTTTTCTCAAAATAAAGTTAATTTGTTGAAGCTTAATAACAATTAATATTTCTTTGAAAGGATAAGCTATAATTGCACTTCATTTCGGCCATTCATGTATAAAAAATCAAACAATTATGATAAATAAAGAGCAAATCAAAAATAATATCGAGCAATTATGATAAAAAAGATATTTTAATTTAAACTCTTCTTGTCATTAGGCAATTGTTAAGTTATAACATAGAGATAAAATATATTGCATATTTAAAAATTATACTCATATTTTTTAAAAAACATTTTAGTTGGATTTAGGGTATTATGATGAACTACTTTCAAGATCCCAGTTGTTGCAAATGTATGAATAATCTAAAACAAATACTATATAAATATACATATTATTTTTTGTGATCGGAGATGATTGTCATAAATTATTTGTGACAATTCTTTTAATGATCAGCATTGCAACAAAAGAAACAATCGCAAAAAAATTACAATCAGAAATTCTTTGTGACAAGTCATTTGATACTAACATTGTGACAAGAGAATCGATCACATCACTAATATGTGATAGGGAGGTCAATGCCTTTGCACTGCTTTTTGGTATGGCTAATTCGAGTGTTTGTTTGTTTGTTAATAGTCTGATGGGCTCGAAAATGGATCACTCATTTTGTCCTCTTGGCTTGGTTGACCTTTGTCATTGGGTTGGGCGACATGCACCGGGTCGGCCTTCAACTACAGTTAAGGAGGATGCATCTGGTCTTGAAGGCAAACCCTTTGATCTTCCATTGGTGCTCTCTTTCTTATTGTTATTTCTTTCTATTTAAACTTTCAATCTTCTCGCCAATCGTGTAGGCTTATTTTAGATGCACAAAAGTATATCATTTTTTAAGATTTTGCCAAATTATTGAGGAAAGCTCATTTGAAATATGGGCAAAATTTTTAAAAGTACAAATTTTCAACCTTAATTTTTAAAAAATATTTATTAATTAAATAAAATTTTGTTAATTGAATTAAAATGTTAATTAATCATAATTTTTAGTTTAAGAAAGTAATTAACTAACATTAACTCTATTCAATCAATTTAAATCACAAACTATATTAATTAGTATGAATTACGATTTTTCTTAATTAATTAATATTTGTAATGTTAAAAAACTAAAACACTGTTGTAACTTACAATATACAAGGAAATCGTGGTGAGAGTGTATTGCGCACCCCATATCCATTGTAGCAATTCTTCCTTTTAACTCTCTTCTACTGTCTCTTCTCTTCTTAACCTTGATCTATGCCATGTTTGTGTGATCGGGGCTATCAAAACGACTCATTAGATTGTTTGGTCATGTTAAATGTTGGTCATCTAATGATTCGGCTAGAAAAGCAGATGTTGTAGACTAGATTTATGTTAAGAAAGACAAAGGTAGACCTAGAAAAACTTGGTCATATTATATAAAAAATGATCTTAATTTATTAGAATTAAATGAAAATATGACACTCACGACGCATTGGAGAAGAATGATTCATGTAGGTGCCCCACTTAGTGGGATAAAGACTTGAGGTTGTTGTTGTTGTTGATATTAATATTTTTAATTAATATTTAATTATTAATTATTAATTAAAATAAATTTTTATTAATTTTTTTTTAATTATTATTGCTTAATTTATGAAAGTAATTAAATAATATAAATTTAAATCACAAATTATACTAAGTTGAATGAATTAATAATTTTTTTAGTTAGATAATACTAGTAATCTAAAAGCCATGGCTCTCCATTTTAACTTACCCACATCCATCCTCCGCCGCACATCCATTATAGCAATCTTCTACTACAGCCATGGCTCTCCGTCAATGAGAGACAACAGGAAACCACGGTGGAAATCACACCTTCTTCATCTCAATAAACATACTTTACGCATCCCCTCCACTGCCCTTCCAGACATACTTCCGTCATCTTGACTCTCTTCTTCTTTTCCTCTCTTCCACCGTCTCTCCTCCTCCAAACCTTGATCTGTGTCATGGCAGAATTGTTTATTGACCCAATCATGGATAAGATCTTCAAAGCTTGCTCTGTTTACCTTCAAGATCAATATAGATGGCAGACGGGCATGAAGAAGGAGCTCGAAAGGCTGCAACAAAACTACCCCAAGGTCCAAGCTGTCGTCTCTGCTTCCACCCAAGCACAGATCAGAGATCGAAACCCAGCACTCAACAGCTGGATCTGGCAGCTACGAGATGCTATCGATGAGGCAGATGATGTTCTGGATGACTTTGAGTACGAGAAGCTTGAAGAACGGCTTACCAGAAACAAGAAGCAGCAAAAGGTACGTTCCGCCATGAGCTCTTTAAAGAAAATTGGCAAACGTGCTCTCAAGACGGATCCCAATTTGAAGAGACTGGAGAAGGTTGTGAAGAAACTTGATAAAGTTTCAGCTGAGGTCAGTACTTTCCTTCATCTCATCGAAAACGCAAAGCAGGAGCAGCAGGAGCTGGAGCTTCAGTTGTGCAAAGATCGTGAAACAGGATGCTTGCCTAAAAATGATCTCATCGGTCGAGGCGAGGAGAAGGATTTTGTGATGCAGTGGTTGAGGAAGTCAACAAATGAAGATCCAACTCATATTGCCAGCCCTACTCTGTACAAAAACATTTCTCTTCTATCCATAGTGGGTCATGGTGGCATGGGCAAGACAACTCTCTTACAACACATCTATGAAGATCTGAAAGAAGAATTTGAACTGAAAATGTGGGTTTGTGTTTCCAACGACTTTGATGCAAAAAAGGTGATTGCTGATATGTTGGAATGTCTTAACAAGGAGAGGCCTCGTTTGGAGTCACTCGCTGCTGTTCAAGAGAGTCTTAAAGCTGTCGTGCAATCTAAAATGTTCTTGCTTGTTCTGGATGATATTTGGGAGGAAGATATGAGCAAATGGGAGAATGTGCTCTCCCCTCTGACTCGTGGAAGTTTCGGAAGTAAGATTTTGATAACGACTCGAATGGATGCAGTTGCATCAACGATTGCAAAAGTTATTAAAATGAAGATCGAAATATTGAGAATAAAGGGCTTGGAGGAAGATGTGTGTTTGAAGCTACTAAACTCTCATGCATTTGCCGGTGTAGAGAACCTTGGTGCTCATAAAAAATTAACAGACATTGCTAGTTCGATAGTTAAAAAGCTTTCAGGCTCTCCATTGGCCGCAAAGGTCATTGGTGGTGTTCTCAATTCTAACTTGAATGAGAGCTTTTGGATGAAAATTTTAGAAAGTAATGTTCTAAACATAGAACCAGAACCGGGTTGCAATAGCATTTTGCCTATCTTAAATTTGAGTTTTACGTTCCTCCCACAACCTCTACAAAATTGTTTTGCATTTTGTGGCGTATTTCCACAAGATCATGAGTTTGATAAAGATGATTTAGTCCGAATGTGGATTGCATTGGGTTTCATTCAGGATTCTTCTATTGAAGGGGAGACTTTGGAAGATATTGGAGGAAGGTATTTTAATATTTTGGTCAGAAAATCTTTCTTTGATGAGTTTCACCATTATACAATAACAGACTATAAGATGCATGATTTACTACATGATTTGGCACAGTCTATTTCTTCTGAAGAATGTTTCAGATTTGTGGGAGATGATGTTTTATCTTTTAAAGTTTCTAAAAATATTCGACACTTATTTGTTAAAACTGAAAATCCAGAAGTGGTGAGAATGATCAAAGATGTTAAAAATCTACATTCGCTTTTTTTTACAGCCATTGGTCAAGATTTTACTGAAATACTTACTGAAATTTTTGAAGCATCCAGAAGGATTCGTTTGTTGTTCATATACTCTCCATGGCAGAAAAAGATTTCTGAGGCTATTAAAAATTTGAGACATCTTCGATATTTGAATCTTACTGCACATCTCACTCATATGCCAAGATCTCTCAGCAGTCTTTATCATTTGCGGTTCATAATCTATGACGAGTTATGGTGGCCATCTTGTTCTGATGATTTATTGCCTGGCAATGTGAGTAATCTTTCTAATCTGCGTTACTTGGAAGTGCCCCCGAATGTATATTCTAGTCTACCTGGATATGGTAAATTAAGGTCACTTCAAGAACTAAATGGGTTTAATGTTAAGAATGAGAATGGTTATAGAATTGGGGAGTTGGAACATATGAGGGAGTTGCGCAAATTAAAAATACATTTTCTGAAGAATGTGAAGGATGCTATGGAGGCTCGCAATGCAAAATTATTTGAGAAGAGAAAACTCACAGATTTATACTTGAATTGGGACAATACCGTTGATGAAGGGAAGATTGTCAATTCTGACTTAGATGTGCATGTGCTTGAAAATCTTGAACCATACAAAAATTTGAAAAGATTGTCCATAGTTTCATATGAGGGTGCAAGATCTGCAAAATGGATGCACAATGCCGATTTGATCTCCAATCTAGAGTACATCCGTCTGGACGAATGTTCGGAGTGGGAAACTCTTCCTCCTTTTGGGCTGCTTCCCCACCTCAAGTCACTGTATCTTCGTAATATGCCAAAAGCAAAGCGGCTTGACCATAAATTCCATGGAAATGACAAGGTTTCTGTGTTTCCATCGTTGGAGGTGCTACATATGGAGGGATTACAAGTATTGGAGGATTGGTTTGATGGAGCAGGAGCAGCAGCATATTTCCTTGCTTAACTGAACTCTGCCTCGATAACTGCCCAAATCTGCAGGAGTTGCCCCAATCTGCAAGAGTTGCCCCATTTGCCTCCTAAGCTCAAGAAATTGAATATACAAAAAATGGGATGGAAGGCAGCTTTGAACTGGAAGCAAGAAACCAACAACTGTTGCGGCATTTCAAAATCGATTCCCCTTGAGACATTAAAGGTCCTTTCGTGTCCAAACATCACATCTCTTCTTTCTCTTGGTGGACTGCAGCAAGTGGAGAGTGGCATTGAGAAATTCCAGCTTATTCTCTGTCAAGTTGTTATAGATGACCCATCCTTGTTGCCAACGGTAAGTATCGCCTCCTTGGAAGAGCTCAAAATTTGTAATAATGATGCGCTGGTTTCTTTTACAATTGAGGCAGAGCAGTGGTTTCCGCGCGTTAGCTCAACCCTTCGTAAGTTGAGGTTTAAAGGCCTCAAATCCCTGCAGTCTCTCCCTTCCTCCTTGGAATGCCTCTCTTCACTTGAAATTCTACGTGTCGAAAAAGTTGCTCAGCTCCAGCAGCTTCCATACCTCCCTGCCTCCCTGAAAAAATTACGTCTTCAATACCTGGAATCATTGCAATGCCTGCCATCTTCTTTGTCGGCCATCTCATCCCTCACCTATTTAGAATTAGAAAGCATTCCACTCCTCAAATCATTGCCAAATCATCATTGCCAGAACTCCCTCCCTCTTTGTCTTCTCTGTATATAGATAGTCTTGATAACCTACAGTGCCTGCCATCTTCTTTGTCGGCCAACTCATCCCTCGACGAACTATCCTTAACAAGCATTCCACTCCTCAAGTCATTGCCAGAAGCCCCTCCATCTTTGTCTCGTTTGTATATAAAGAGTCTTGATAACCTAGAGTGTCTGCCATCTTCTTTGTCGGCCATCTCATCTTTCAAGGTTCTAACATTAGAAAGCATTCCACTCCTCAAATCATTGCCAGAACTCCCTCCCTCGTTGACTACTCTGAATGTCTGCTCTGTATATAAATGGTCTTGAAAACCTACGGTGCCTGCCATCTTCTTTGTCGGCCCTCTCATCCCTTGACAGTCTATGGTTAGAAAACATTCCACTCCTCAAATCATTGCCAGAACTCCCTCCCTCTTTGTCTCGTCTGCATATAAAGAGTCTTGATAATCTGGAGTGCCTGCCATCTTCTTTGTCAGCCATCTCATCCCTCAAGTTTCTTAACTTAGAAAGCATTCCACTCCTCAAATCATTGCCAGACCTCCCTTCCTCGTATTCAATAACAGTAGAAGATTGTCATCCAGAGTTGATGAAGCATTATAAAAAATTTTGAGGCTCTCATCAAGATATTTTGCTTGACAATAAATTTGTTGAAATTAGAATTAAGATGATCAAAATTTTAATTTTAGATATTTTCAACTCAAAAATTACACCAAGTTTTGTACTTGACTGAAAGAATCTCTTCACGAGATATAATTTGTTCTTGTCTTTTTGGATAATGACGTCTATACTATCTTAAAAAAAATATTATATTTTATCTTTGAAAAAAAATATGATCTAAACTAGAAATTAAAATAATTATTATGTTAGATGTCAATATGAACCTCACTTCAGAGCCAGTGAATCAAGTAAATTCTCTTAAAGTGTAATATCGTCATTCCACTTCAATTGAAGCAAAAAATTGTCAAAAATATTTTGCTCTAAACTCTTCTCTTCAAAAATGCTTGAGACTATTGAGACTAATTATTGAAATTATATCGAGGTCCAAGAGTTTCAAAGTTAAGTTCAGAACATCAAAAATTTATTTAAAGAACCCAAAAAATATTGAGATGGATATGGCTGGGCTGAAAATCAAACCCAGAGCGAGCCGAGGTAATAAACTAACCCATTTTCGATGGCTATGACAATGCACAAGTGCACATAAAATCAGAACAACACATGAATTTTATTTCATTTTTTTAAGCATAAGAACATTTTAAGAATTAAATAAATTCTTTCAATGGTAAGAAAACTATTAAGAAATTAAAAAAAAAAACTGCAAATTATTTAAACATTATGCAAAGTTTTTTATAGATATTTATCTTCATTTTCAAGTATAAGTAACCCCATGGGTGAGAATATCTACATCTCTTAAATCTCGTTTGTTAGGCTCTAGTTCTTACTCATAGAAAAGATTCACCAATAGATTATGAATAATATCCATTTATAAGCATTAGTACTCATCTATATAAAGGCTTGTTCTTATCCAAATTAGGCTGTGTGTATCCCCTAAGCTTGTTCTAATGGTTTCTACTAAGATAGCCAAACTATCTTGCAAGAGCAGAGCAATTTTTTTTTCATTCAGGAATGATCATTAACCCAATTTGTCATCACATTTTCAATGTGAAGACATAGAGACGTCAACAAGAAAAACCGCCCAAAGAATTAAAATCATTTACATAATACCTTTATTTTTAAAATATTTATGTATTTTTCTTAGTTTTTTTTCTTTTTCTAAGAATTTTGTTCTAAGACAATCATGTGCATGAGCATATTTCTCCAACAACATGCCATTGTGAATTGTTGTTGCTTATCTTTACAAAAATTATAATTTTTTGGACATCTTGGTGCTGAAATTTTGACAATTTTGTAGTTAATGAGTTTATGTGATCAAACAAATCATCATAAAACTCTTATTTACCAGTGAAAGTTAACGAATTCTTTTTTTTATTTCCATGAAAATCTTCATATAAAAATATTAAGATAGAAAATTCAAAACCAAAAGCTTTCTTGAATAGGCTATTTTACTTTCATAAACATTGATAATTAATTGTAATTTATCCACTAGTCAAAATGAATTGAAGTTTTTCTAAGCACTTCCATAAATATATAGATACTTGTTTTTGTAGATTTTTATTTCAAGTATTTTTCTCAAAAAAGAAATTTATAAGTGGCGATTGATGAGTGATTCTTGTACGTTATTATTGTTTTATAAAATTATTAAAACCTTAAATGAATGATTCTTCTAACATAAGTAATGTCATTCAAAAGATAATTCACTAATTTATATTTTTTCGATTGAAGTCATTTGAGATATGTTATGATCAAGATAGGAGTTACAGCCATAAAAAAAAGTTCAATTTGAATGAAAGTGCTCCTTGGAAGCTATTATAGATTTTTGAAGGTTTAAAGACTATAAAAGGCTTAAAAATATCTTATAATGATGATGAGGGATGTCTTAACAATAGATAGGCCTAATAATAATTCTTTTTATTTGACAAACAATTAGATATAAAATTATTGATGTATATTATTGATTGAATCAAAGTAATAAAAATATAGCTAAATGAAGAATTATAATTGTTTGCATTAATGTACACATTTTTTAGAATTTACCCCTTAAAAAAGACTTGAGAAATTCAAACATTTTTAAGAAATATTTAAAATCTTTAAATAATATTACAAATCAAGCATATAACAATTGAATCTTTAAGTCCACAATGACAAGACAATGGTCACTATTGCAACATAATAAGGAACAATCCTTGGGTGAAACCTTTTATGATTTTTAGATGAATTAAGAATATGTCTCTTTTGCTACTTAAGCCTTAAGATATATATAAATAGCTAGAAAAGCTATGAATAAATGCTAATATTTATTGATAATTAGCAAAAAAAACTATGTAACTTTTCAAAAAGTTTTAAAAAATATATACCTCTCTAAAGCTTATACTTTCTAAGATTTTTAGAGAACATATTATCTTAAAATTTTGTCTTTTAATAAAGATTTGTATATTTTTTAATTTTGGACTTATAAAATTTTAGGGGGATATATACTTACTAATATTTTGTTACGACCCGACTAAGGAACTTAGAATTAGTTAAGATAGGAATGAACAAACAGATAATGAAAGTAAATATTTCTAAATAATAATATTATTCAACATAATTGTTCATTATAAAAGCAACCAATCAATAGTACACATGTAAATAATCTTTTAACAAATACATAATACATATGATCATCAAATGACACAATAAGTTTAGATACTACACAAAAAATACCACTTATTAGATATCACACATAACTACACCACACCTTTAAATTTATATGTTCAAATACTATCACACATAAGTACACCATACTTTTAAATTGATAAGTTTAGATACTACTTGGGTTCACTAATCAATAAAATGGCAGGGTTTAGGGTTGTCCGTTTATATGGGTGATTTGCTGGTAACTTCTGATTGATATTGATAAGTAGACTTTAACATTTCAGTTGCCTGTGAGATTGAGATAAAAGAGAAGAGAAAGTCTCGTATGACCCCATCCCCAAATTAAAATTTTATACCTCGCATTGAATTTTCATATGCTTATCATCTAACTTTATTGAACCTTTCATATATTATTTACAAATGTTTATCTAATCTATTTATGTTATGCAATTGCAATCTGTTTTAAAGTATCAGAAGAATTAACCAGGCACACATTCAGTTGTTTTAGCTTCTTTACTTCTTTTTTTTACTGTATAGTTCTTTCTTTACTGTGTGGACTTTTCTTTCTTTACAATACTTTATTGTATGGCTTTCTTTCAGTCTTTTCCTTCTGTGGTACTTTACTATACAATGCATGTATGTTCTGTATTGCACTCCATTATATAATTCTTTTCTTTCCTTTCTTTACTGCATTGTACTATAGATGTTCACCTGTACTTATATTTTTAAGTATTACTTCTCTAGCATGTTTATATGATATTTTAGGATAGTAGGTAGAACACGTGTTTAGGATTGAAATCTTATAACAAACTTTTAAATTTTAATACTTCTTCAAAATTCTAATACACATTAATACGATTACAAAACAATGTTTTAAACTTTATTTAACATATAAATAACAAGAACTTAGAATAACCTAGTTAGTTATTTTGTTTTCTTTCGCTCTTCTCGGAACGAGACTACAACCTAGAGCAAGTGACGATTCATCTTCGAGTAGCGGTTGAAGCGACGACAGAAAGTGGCGAAAGCAGCTTCAGTTGGACTTTGATAAATTTAAATAGCACACTTATAGAACGTTGAGGTCGTTCGTCTAGCACGACGTAAATCCTCACATACTATCTTTAAAGACTTCCTACGATTGCATATCATACGATTAAGTCCTAAACTCTTTTTATGATTCTGATGTTGTTGTTCGGTATGACATAAATCCCGAATATGTAAGTATAAATCCCGAACATCTAAATAATTTACAAAAATTAAAAACATTAAATACAGTTTCCCTTTCAAAAATGTGAAACCAAACCATATATTAGTTTGAGATATTACTAAAATTTCTTCATTGTCTCCAAATATTTCCTACTTTTATTCCTTTGGATTCTGAAGATAACTGTTCCACATTGATCTATTCTTATTTGAATTTCTTATAAAGAACCATGAAAACTTAAACATTGAAATTTTGAAGGCAAAACCCTAATCTTAATCAAGAGTTTTATTAGTTGACTTCAGTCTCCTAAGATGTAATTAACTATAGGAGTTTGCCTCTATAGAGAATTAAAAGAGCCCAGATTAATCTAAATCATATCTAGTTTGTATATTAGATAGGGGAATTTGTCAGCTATAAAATTCACAGACCAAAATGGAGTCATAAAATTTTAAGTTTAAATAAGTTAAGTCTACCAATAAGTGATACATTTATTTTTCGGAATGAGATATCATTTATGGTATCGTGTTTAACTACTTAAACTATTAGATATATGAGGTCTATCCGATCTATTTATTTTTTACATATATATATATATCAATTTAAATCACAAACTATATTAATTAGTATGAATTACGATTTTTCTTAATTAATTAATATTTGTAATGTTAAAAAATTAAAACACTGTCGTAACTTACAATATATGAGGAAACCATGGTGAGAGTTTATTGCGCACCCCACATCCATTATAGCAATTCTTCCTCCTAACTCTCTTCTCTTCCTCTTTTCCAACGTCTCTCCTCTTAACCTTGATTTGTGTCATGTTTGTGTGACGGGGGCTGTCCAAATGACTCATTAGATGTTTTGGTCATATTAAATGTTGCCCATCTAATGATTCAACTAGGAGAGCAATTGTTTTAGATTCGACTTACGTTAAGAAAGGCAAAGGTTAACCTAGAAAGACGGACATATTGTATAAAAAACGATCTGAATTTATTAGAATTAAATGAAAATATGATACTAAATAGGACGCAATTGTCAATTGGACGCAATAGAGAAGAAGGATTCATTTAGGCGACCCCACTTAGTGGGATAAAGGCTTGTTGTTGTTGTTGTTGTTATTAAAATTAATATTACTAATTAATATGTAATTATTAATTAAATTAAAATTAATTTTGATTAAAATTTTTCTTAATTATTATTGCTTAATTTATGAAGTAATTAAATAATATTAATTTAAATCACAAATTATATTAAGTTGTATGAATTAATCTTTTATTAGGTAAATAATATTAGTAATCTAAAAGACTGCTCTTTAATTTATTACACAGTAGAAATCACATCTTAACTTAACTGAACGCAATCTTCTACTACAGCCATGGCTCTCCGTCAATGAGAGTCAACAGGGAACCACGGTGGAAATCACACCTTCTTTATCTTAATAAAGATACTTTGGGCATCCCCTCCATTGCCCGGGCCACCCTTCCGTCCTCTAGACCCTTTCTTCTCTTCCTCTCTTCCACCGTGTCTACTCTACTTAACCTTGATCTGTGCCATGGCAGACTGGTTTGTTGGCCCAACCTTGGATAAGATCATCAACGCTTGCTCCGATTACCTTCTTGATCAATATAGACGGCAGACAGGCATGAAGGACGAGCTAGAAAGGCTGCGAGAGAACCAACCCAAGATCCAAGCTGTTGTCTCTGCTTACACCCGAGCACACATCACAGATCGCAACCCGGCTCTCAAAAGATGGATATGGCAGGGACCAGAAGCCACCCGTGAGGGGGGGATGATGTCCTGGATGATTTTGAGTACATGAAGCTTGAAGAACAACTGGAGCTCAACATGGGGGAAAAAAAGGTGCGTTCTTCATTCACTACATTATTTTCGGAACCTGCTCGCAAACTTCGTAGAGTCTGCGAACGAGTTCTCAAAATCGATCCCAACTTGGAGAGACTTGAGGCAGTTGTGAAGAAACTTGAAAAAGTTTCAGCTGAGGTCAGTACTTTCCTTCATCTCATCGAAAACGCAAAGCAGGAGCAGCAGGAGCTGGAGCATCAGTTGTACAGAGATCGTGAATCAGGATGCTTGCCTAAAAATGATCTCATCGGTCGAGGCGAGGAGAAGGATTTTGTTATGCAGTGGTTGAGGAAGCCAACAAAAGAAGATCCAAATCATACTTTATACAAAAACATTTCTCTTCTATTCATAGTGGGTCATGGTGGCATGGGCAAGACAACTCTCTTTCAACACATCTATGAAGATCTGTGAAAGAAGAATTTGAACTGAATATGTGGGTTTGTGTTTCCAACGACTTTGATGCAAAAAAGGTGATTGCCGATATGTTGGAATGTCTTAACAAAGAGAGGCCTCGTTTGGAGTCACTCGCTGTCGTTCAAGAGAATCTTAAAGCTGTTGTGCAATCCAAAAGGTTCTTGCTTGTTCTGGATGACATTTGGGAAGAAGATATGAGCAAATGGGAGAATGTACTCTGCCCTCTAGTTTACGGTGGTTTGGGAAGTAAAATTTTGTTAACTACCCGGATGGATACAGCTGCATCGGCGATTGTAAATGTGATTAGTAAGGATAAGGAAATTTATCCATTAAAAGGCTTAGAGGAAGATGTGTGTTTGAAGCTACTCAACACTCATGCATTTGCTGGTGTAGAGAACCTTGGTGCTCATAAAAAATTAAAAGACATTGCTAGTTCGATCGTTAAAAAGCTTTCAGGCTCTCCATTGGCCGCAAAGGTCATTGGCGGTGTTCTCAATTCTAACTTGACTGAGAGATTTTGGATGAAAATTTTAGAAAGTAATGTTCTAAACGTAGAACCAAAACCGGGTCGCAATAACATTTTGTCTATCTTAAGTTTGAGTTTTACGCTCCTCCCACAATCTCTACAAAATTGTTTTGCATTTTGTGGCCTATTCCCACAAGATCATGAGTTTGATAAAGATGATTTAGTTCGAATGTGGATTGCATTGGGTTTCATTCAGGAATCTTATAATGAAGGAGAGACTTTGGAAGATATTGGAGGAAGGTATTTTGATGTTTTTATCAGAAAATCTTTCTTTGATGAGTTTCAATATCGTGAGAGAATATACTATAAGATGCATGATTTATTACATGATTTAGCACGGTCTATTTCTTCAGAGGAATGTTTCGAATTTGTGGGAGATGATTTTTTATCTTTTAAAGTTCCTAAAAATGTTCGACACTTATTTGTTAAAACTGAAAATCCAGAAGTGTTGAGAATGATTAAAGATGTTAAAAATCTACATTCCCTTTTTTTGACAACCGATGATCAAGCTTTTACTGAAATACTTACTGAAATTTTTGAAGCATCGAAAAGAATTCGTTTACTGTTCATACACTCTCCATGGCAGGAAAAGATGTCTGAGGCTATTAAAAATTTGAAACATCTTCGATACTTGAGTCTTACTGCACGTCTCACTCATATGCCAAGATCTCTAAGCAGTCTTTATCATTTGCGGTTCATAATCTATAACAAGTTATTGGGATCTTGCTCTGATGATTTCTTGCCTGGCAATGCGAGTAATCTTTCTAATCTGCGTTACTTGGAATTGCCCCCGAATGTATTTTCTAGGGTACCTGGAATTGGGAAATTAAGGTCACTTCAAGAACTAACTGAGTTTAATGTTAAGAATGAGAATGGTTATGGAATTGGGGAGTTGGAACATTTGAGCCAGTTGCGCAAATTAAAAATACATTTTATGGAAAATGTGAAGGATGCTAGCGAGGCTCGCAGTGCAAAATTATTTGAGAAGAGAAAACTCACAGATTTATTATTGAATTGGGGTAATACTGAATTTGGAAGCCTACGGAAGACTGTCAATTCTGACTTAGATGTGAATGTGCTTGAAAATCTTGAACCATACAAAAATTTGAAAAGATTGTCCATAGTTTCATATGAGGGTTCAAGATCAGCAAAATGGATGCACAATGTCGATTTGATCTCCAATCTAGAGTACATCCATCTGGACGAGTGTTCGGAGTGGGAAACTCTTCCTCCTTTTGGGCAGCTTCCCCACCTCAAGTCACTATACCTTCGTAACATGCCAAAAGCAAAGCGGCTTGACCATAAATTCCATGGGAATTACAAGGTTTCCGTGGTTCCATTGTTGGAGGGGCTAAATATTAAGGGATTACAAGTATTGGAGGATTGGTTTGATGGAGCAGGAGCAACAGCATACGACTGTTTCTTTCCTTGCTTAACGGAACTCTTTCTCGATAACTGCCCAAATCTGCAGGAGTTGCCCCATTTGCCTCCTAAGCTCAAGAAAATGAAAATACAAAAAATTGGATGGAAGGCTGCTTTGAACTGGAAGCAAGAAACCAACAGCTGTTGCGGCATTTCAAAATCGATTCCCCCTGAGACATTAGAGGTCCTTTCGTGTCCAAGCATCACATCTCTTCTTTCTCTTGGTGGACTGCAACAAGTGGAGAGTGGCATTGAGAAATTCCAGCTTATTCTCAGTGAAATTGTTATAGATGACCCATCCTTATTGCCAACAGTGAGTATCGCCTCTTTTGGAAAGCTCACAATTTGTAATAATGAGGGGCTGGTTTCTTTTACAATTGAGGCGGAGCAGTGGTTTTCGCACGTTAGCTCATCCCTTCGTGAGTTGAACTTTAGAGACCTCAAATCCCTGCAGTCTCTCCCTTCCTCCTTGGAACGCCTCTCTTCAGTTGAGATTCTACGCATCGAAAAAGTTCCTCAGCTCCAGCAGCTTCTACACATCCCCGCCTCCCTGACAGAATTATGCCTTGAATACCTGGAATCATTGCAGTGCCTGCCATCTTCTTTGTCGGCCATCTCATCCCTCGCCTATTTAAAATTAGACAGCATTCCACTCCTCAAATCATTGCCAGTACTCCCTCCCTCTCTGTCTCGTCTGTCTATAAATAGTCTTGATAACCTACAGTGCCTGCCATCTTTGTCGGCTATCTCATCCCTCAAGCATATACATTTAGTTAGCATTTCACTCCTCAAATCATTGCCAGAACTCCCTCCCTCTTTGTCTGAACTGCATCTATATAAGCTTGACAACCTACAGAGCCTGCCATTTTCTTTGTCGGCCTTCTCATCCCTCAACCATCTGTATTTAAATAGCATTCCACTCCTCAAATCATTGCCAGAACTCCCTCCCTCTTTGTCTGAACTGCATCTATATAAGCTTGACAACCTACAGAGCCTGCCATTTTCTTTGTCGGCCTTCTCATCCCTCAACCATCTGTATTTAAATAGCATTCCACTCCTCAAATCATTGCCAGAACTCCCTCCCTCTTTGAACTATCTGCATATAAATAGTCTTGATAACCTAGAGTGCCTGCCATCTTCTTTTTCGGCCATCTCATCCCTCAACCGTCTATATTTATATAGCATTCCACTTCTCGAATCATTGCCAGATCTCCCGTCCTCCCTGAATTCACTGTCTCTACGGAGACTTGATAAGTTACAGTGCCTGCCATCTTCTTTGTCCGCCATCTCATCCCTCAACCGTATATGGTTACATAACATTCCGCTCCTCAAATCATTGCCAGACCTCCCTTCCTCCTTGTGTTCAATAAGAGTAACAGATTGTCATCCAGAGCTGATGAAGCGTTATAACAAATATTGAGGCTCTGATTGGCACAAGATTGCATACGTTCCTTATGTCAGTATTAATTTCATTTAAGGGTTGTAGTTAAAATATGATTTGTGATTTTTTAATTATAAAATCATTGTTTTGCCGTTAATTTTTTAATTTCAGTTGTAGTTAAAATATGATTGGTAATTTTGGATTGGATAGAGTCTTATATAGCATTACACTTAAAATATTGATTTCCTTTTCTAAAATTTCAATCACACTTCAATTACTTAATCTGAGCATATTTAAATTAAAATATACTTAATTTGGGCTTATTCATCAAGACATTTTGCTTGACAAGAAATTTGTTAAATTTAGAATTAAGAAGATCAAAGTTTTAATTTTAGATATTTCCAACTCAAAAATTACACTGAGTTTTCTACTTTGAAAGAATTTCTTCATGAGATATAATTTGTTCTCATCTTTTTGGATGATGACGTCAAATTGTCTTAAAAAATACTATATTATACTTTGTAAAAAAATACGATGCAAACTAGAAATCAAAGTAATTATGATGTGAGATGCCAATATGAACCTCACTTCAGAGTCAATGAATCAAGTAAATTCTCCTAAAGTGTAATATCGTCATTCCATATCAATCGAAGCAAAAAATTGTCAAAAATATTGTGCTCTAAACTCTTCAAAAATGCTTGAGACTAGTTGAAACTATATTGAGATCCAAGAGTTTCAAAGTTAAGAACATCAAAAAATTATTTTAAGAACCCAAAAAAATATTGAGATGGATATGTCTGGGCTCAAAATCAAACCCATAGTAGGTTGAAGTAGCTAACCAACCCATTTTCAATGGCTATGACAATGCACAAGTGCACATACAATCAAAACAACATAGGATTATTGAACATTTTAAAAAATTAAATAAATTTTTTCAATGGTAAGAAAACTATTAAAAAATTAAAAAAAAAAAAATGCAAATTATTTAAACATTAAGCAAAGTTTTTATTGATATTTATCCTCATTTTCAAGTATAAGTAACCCCAAGGGTAAGGAGAACATGTACAACTCTTAAATCTCGCTTGTTAGGCTCTAGTTCTTACTCATAGAAAAGATTCACCGCTCACCATAGAAAAGATTCACCAAGATTCACCGCTCACCAATAGATTATGAATAATCTCCATTTATAAGCTCTAGTACTAATCTACATAAAGGCTTGATCCTATCCAAATTAGGCAGTGTGTATCCCCTTGGCTTATTTTAATGGTTTCTACTAAGATAACCAAACTATCTTGCAAGAGCATAGCAAATTTTTTTCATCCATGAATGTTCATTGACCCAATTTTCCATCACATTTTCAATGTGAAAACAAAGAGATCTCAACCAGAAAAAATGCACAAAGAATTAAAATAATTTACATAATACCTTTATTTTTAAAATATTTCTGTATTTTTCTTATTTCTTTATTTTTTTTTCTAAGAATTTTTTTTTAAGACGATCATGCGAATGAGTATATTTCTCCAACAACATGACATTGTGAATTGTTGCTACTTATTTGCACAAAAATTATAATTTTTGGACATCTTGGTGTTGAAATTTTGACAATTTTGTAGTTAATGAATTTATGTGATCAAACTAATCATCATAAAACTCTTATTTATCTGTGAAAGATAATGAATTCTTTTGTTATTTCCATGAAAATCTTCATATAAAAATGTCAATGTTTGATAAGATAGAAAATTCAAGACCAAAATCTTCCTTGAATAAGTTATTTTACTTTCCATAAACTTCAATAATTAATTGTAATTTATCCACTAGTCAAAATGAATTAAAATTTTTCTAAGCATTTCCATAAATATATAAATACTTTATTTTTTACATTTCTTTTTTCAAGTATTTTTCTCAAAAAAAATTTTATAAGTGTCTACTGACGAGTGATTCCTATACGTTATTATTGTTTTATAAAATTTATTAAAACCTAAAATGAATGATTCTTGTAACATAATTAATGTCATTTCAAATAGAATTCTATAATTTATATTTTTTAGATTGAAGTCATTTGAGATATTTTATGATCAAGATAGAAGTTACATCCATAAAACAAACTTCAATTTGAATGAAACTGCTCCTTGGAAGCTATTATAGATTTTTGAATGTTTAAAGACCATAAAAGGCTTAAAAATATCTTATAATAATGAAGACACTCTCTAGAGATTTTGTCTGCATTTTGCGAGGATTTTTTTATCCAGGGTTCGAGGTTTCTCATAGGCGCAAACCCCTATAGTTAATTACGCCTCCTGGTAACAAGAGAGCACTTTTGATAAAGACTATTTATTAAGAATTGAATATTTAACATATAATAGAAACAAACTTAGGATTTAAGTTATAAAATTCATCAGTTGAAGATTAAAGCGGATGATGGGGGAATGAAGACGAAACCAGATCAAAATCACATGGTTCTGTCATCTCGAGTTGTCATGGTCCCTAATTCACTTAGTCAGAGTAGGTAGTCGACCCAATCCAACCTGACAGATGGATTCTTGTCAGCGGCATGGATTACGTCGTTCAAGAAATTCATATAGATCTGAGGTGTATATTTGTCTAACAGGACAAATTTAAGCTGATTTTTTTATCAATCAACTGCACCCTTATGATTTACAACTCAAATGATAGAAAACTGTTGGGGAACATACGGGTTGACTGTAATATAATTGTGTCATTTGGCGGCAACTAACCGGTCAGATGGCTCCAGTCATAACCGCAAGTTTGTAGTGTCATTTGGTGGCAAAATCACGCAGACAGATGACTCGGGTTATGTTCTTATGGGCATGCAATTACTTTGATTGTGAATATAAGGATGCATTTAATATGACTTTAGCTCTTTGTGAGCTGAAGACGATTAGAAATTTGTCTCCCTCAACAAACTATTGCGGGGGGTTGATGAGATTTGTTTTAAGTCTTTTGTGATTGATTTTTAGCTTGGATATTTTAATTGATTATTTTGAAAGTATTGATTTAAAGATTAACCCCTCTGGTTGAAATCTTCTATTAGTTCGGCTATCATGAGGGTATTAAATCTTATAAACTTTTTTATATTGAAGGGGGCAATTAATTTTGCAGTTGAAGTTTTTTAAAGCATATCTGCTGTCGGTTCCTATTCTTATAGGTAGGAGGATCAGAGTCGTTGGGTTGATTGGACTTGTAGAATTTTATTTTAAGATTTGGACATTTATTTCAAAATTACTAGACTCGTCAATTGTAGTCCTTGCAAAAAGGAGGATCAGAATAGTTGGGGTGATTTGGACTTGTAAACTCATATTTCAGGCTTACTAGACTCGCCAGCTCTAGTCCTTGTGAGAAGGATGATCAGACTAGAGGGGTGGGATTTACAACCCTGCCCTATAAATATGGCGGCCCGATTAGCCCGCGTAGCATTCTCGAACCCATTAGTTGAGTATTCAATTCATTGGTTGGAGCACATGTAAATATTTAACTTTCATATGTTTGAGCTATTTTGGTGAAAATTCATGTGAATGAGATTAGTTAGGAAACTAAAGCTTGAGTTTAGCCTCACATACAATTGCAAACATATATGTTAGTGTAAGAAATATCAAATAATTAGCTTTATCAGCGGATAACATATATTTTGGTGTAAACATGTGTGTGTGTGTGTCGCCAACCGTGACCTATTGGTAGTGCAGGCTCTTTGAAGGTCTTAAGTCCCCTTAGATCATGGGTGCGGATCGCTCTCTTGATAGTTTGTAGGTAGTGAGGGCGGTCCTCAAATAGTTAGCCGCATAAGGGTGCTTCGAGTAGTTGGGTTGATTAGTTTTGTAGTTTAAGCTTTTTAAAGCATAAGTCATGTCGACTCCTACTCTTATAGGAAGGAGGATCAGAGTAGTTGGGTTGATTGGACTTGTAAACTCTTATTTCAAGATTTGGGTATTTATTTCAAAATTACTAAATTTGTCAATTATAGCCCTTGTGAGGAGGATGATCGGAATAGTTGAGGTGACTTGGACTTGTAAACTCTTATTTCAGATTTACTAAACTTGCCAACTCTAATCCTTGCAAGGAGGAGGATCAGAATAGTGGGTTGGGACTTACAACCCCGCCCTATAA